ATATTTCTTCTGCGCTTAATGAAAGACGATATGGCCAAGTCAACTTAATTACAGCAGGAGATATTATGAACTATCAGGAGGATGAAAGATGTTTACTTTATTTCCTCGAAACCGACGGAGACGGGACAGCAAGGAAGAGTGGGAGAAGGGGCGCGATGGAGGAGGGAGACTACCAGAGGCTATGGCGATACGAAACAATTCACCGGGCGTGTTAAGTCTGCAATTCTGGCCAAATATAAGTTCTCGTTTGCTAAGTGCAAAAACCCGTCAGGTGAAAAAGAAGACCGACGCTCCACAAATTACACCGCCCTTCTAAACAGCCAGAAGAGAGATCGATTAAACTTTTCTGAACAGACTGCAGCTTTCTTTTATACAATGAAATAGTCTTACAGGCAAACGCAGATTTTGTCTTTGGGGATCTCTCCAACAGCATCTCAGCTCCACCTAAATGCAGTATTCCTGAATTGTCCAGACTGAAGCGTGTCTTTATCCCCTGAAATAAATTTCATATATCTCGATTCAGCAATTGCTTTGATCAGGACTACAGGAAATAACCGCAATTTAGCATTCGCTACAGTGGAAATTATCATGCTACTGGTACGGAAATATGGAACCTTGAAAGTAGTGCCATCTTTAGCGGCTTCAGATGCATATGCCTCCGTGACACCCTCAATTTTAACCTCGCTGATATTGAGGGAAGCAAGCTGTCTGAAAATTACATATGCAGAGAAGAAGTGAGATATGAACTGTTGCGAAGGATGGAGACGAGACGAACCTGATCTGATCAGCCCTTAAGTGCTTCATATCACCGTAATTAATGTAGATCGAGAAATCCCTTGTGAACGAAGTAAATGACAAGACTTTCTTGGAGGCCGGAATGAAGGATTTATAGGGATATATTGGCCGACGAATAAGGCGCCCGGGAACTGTGTTGTCATTGCCGGGTGTACTCATGAAATCCACCTGCAACATTTTATGTGTTAAAGACTCCAGGCTCACATTCTGAATCACTGCGTACTCTTTCGGCAACAAAACAATCCCTAGCAGCAATCATAGATACCTGTACTGGGAAAATCTGCAGGTCGCGCACGTCGAATTTTTTGACTTTAAAACCTTTGCTCAAATGTGCCGCCTGATAGACCCCACCCATTGCAATCGCATCGTCCGTGTTCAAGAATCTGCCTAACTCCTTTCTGCAAGAGAGAGAGAGAGAGACAATTGATATAAGTTCACTGAATTAACTATGCAGAAAGTGCATCTGGGAAAGTTTACCCTTTAAAAAACTTCTGAAGAAGTTGCCGCAGTCGCGGAACGCGCGTACCTCCACCCATCAGGACCACATGATCAATCTGATACATCCAGAATTAATTGATTACATGTTTGTTTGGGAAAAAATTTTGCACTTGCTATGCAAAATACCTGCTCTGGCGAAAGTTCAGCCATTTTCAACGCATCAACAATGGGCTGCACGAATTTTGGCTCAAGATCACTTATCGATTCCTCAAGTTCCTGCCTTGTCAATGGCATCATGAAATGCTGCTCTTCATGCACGCCCTCAACTTGAGCAGTAATGTTGACGTTTGCCGAAAGTATCTGCAAGCAGAATGGAGAAGAATATGGAAGTCACGATCTGACTAGAAACACATTTAAATTAACTGAAAAATAAAAACAGTGTATATGCGCACAATTTTAATTCGTTCAGCCTCTTCAAACAATTTTGCCATGGCGCGAGCATTCTGCGTTA